CTGAACACAGACACACTCACACTCTCTCACATGAACACAGACACACACTCTCTCACATGAGCACAGACATGCACGCACGCACACTCTCTCACCTGAACACAAACACGCACACACACTCTCTCTCACCTGAACACAGACACACACGCACACACACACACTCTCACCTGAACACAGACACGCACACACACACACTCTCACCTGAACACAGACATGCACACACACACTCTTACCTGAACACAGACACGCACACACACACTCTTACCTGAACACAGACACACTTACACATGCTTTCACCTGAACACAGACACACGCACACTCTCTCACATGAACACAAACACACTCTCTCACATGAGCAGAGACACATGCACACTCACCTGAGCAAAGGCACACGCACTTTCACCTGAACACAGACATGCATGCAGGCACGCACACTCTCACCTGAGCACAGACGTGCACACACACACTCACTCACCTGAGCACAGATGTGCACACACATTCACTCACCTGTTCACAGACATGGACATGCACACTCTCACCTGAGCACTGATACGCACACACACATTCACTCACCTGAGACGTGCACACAACTCTTTCACACTCTCCCATACAGATAGACGCGCATACTGTGTACACGTACTGTACACGGACACACTGTCTCCTTCTGTACACGGGCTGTATACATACTGTAGATCTCCTGCAGGATATCTGTCTTGTTATTCCAGCTCACTTCTTAATTACTAGTCAACGTATTGTTCATTGGCTCTTTTTGCTTGTGTAGGCTGAGAAGGGTTGAAAACTAAAATCTGCTCTGTACTGTAATCTGGGTTTCAGAACTCATGTGGGTATAGTGTCAGTGTCCAGCTGTGGCAGGGCTAGTGCAGTTCTATACTGGCTCTAAAGTGGTTTTAAAGTAGCTTATTATGAGAGCTTTTTTAAGGTAATTCCCATTAAACAAGTATCTACACATGATTATCTAGTAAAGTGTTCAGTGCTTCATATAATATAAGATCACTTTATTGGCCATATACAATTTCTCGTATTAGGAATTAGTCTTTTTGTATACCCCAACTTGCTCTCCATGAGACACACAGACAGGGAGAGAAGCTTGTGGTCAGAGTGCAGGATCAGCCATTTATACAGCACCTCTGGAGCAGTTGGGGTTAAGGGCCTTGCTCAGGGGCCCAATGGAGTAGGATTCCTCTGCCAGCCACAGGATATGAACCGGGAACCTTCCAGCCACAGGCACAGATCCTTAGCCACAGAGCCACCATCCTGTCCTCAGATAGCTGAAGCAGAGTTATAATATTATTAAACACACAATGAGAGACAAAATTCTGTTCAGTATCTTGGGAAACATGCCGTATGCTTACAATAGCATATATTTTTAGACAAGGAAAAAACTAATTAAAGCAATAAACAAAACATTTCAATCGGCCTAAGGTACCGATAGATTTGTAACAAAAACAGAAGACAGGAGGTTGGGGTTGCGACTGTAATCCGGAGATTTTGTTTTCAGAGTGATTGCAGCCAGTGTATCTTAACGATTCTGCCCCTCGGGAGCCCCAGACTGATGGTGAATGGAGCTGATGGGTTTTACAACAGGGTCTAACTCTTCCTGCAGCGTCCATTTAGAGAAACACATAAAACATGCGTCGTCGTGGAGATCGCCTAATTTGAAGCTGATTAAAAACCCCACAGGCCCTCATTGTTTTTAAGAAGAGAGTGGCGAGAGCAGAGCAGGGGAGCGAAGGGTGGTTTGTGAAGCAGGCCTGGTGACATCCAGGCAGAGGCCTATTTTCGCTGAAAGGGCTCATTTGGAGTGAAGATAATGGAGCTCAAGCGCAATTAATAGCGGGTGTTTTAAATAAAGATAAAAGGCAGCTGAAGCAGGGAAGATAATATAAGGGGCCCTATTAAGACTCAAAACACCACTCCATTGGTTAGGGCAAGGCTAGTGAGACAGGAGACGTAAGCCACCGCTCATTTTGCTATTACATTTCAGTCCAAGTGACTCATTAGCCATCTGCTTCATAAGTAATTAATTCACATAGTGAAGGGGAACTGGTTGTGTCTAAGACTTGTACAGGAATAGATTGGGATAGATTGGAAGGTCATCAGTTTGAGTGCTACAAGACTAGGCAGTCCCCAGGCGTGTGACCCCAAGTTGTCCTCTGATTCCATCGGATGAAGAAATGGAGATGATTTACCTGATAAATCACTTGTCAGAGCTGCAAGGAATTGGAATTCCACAGCGGGAAATAGGTTGTGATTTTTAGGGCTACAGGTTAGAGAAGAATGTAAAACTCCAAAGTGCTTGGAAATGTTTTTTACGACAGGGGGAAAAAAGAAGTTAGTGTTCGATCCTACAGAAGGTCTGTAGCGGTTTTGTAGGACTCCATAGTGAGGAGCCGCAGCACCAGGTCTGTGTTTTGGTCTTTTTCAAAATTGATATCCAAAGAGGGCCAGTAACAGCAAGCCATTTTCGCTGTCATGAACAAGCCTAGATTGGGCCCTGCAGAGAACAACACTCATACAAACAACAGCCAGCTGATGGAGTATACTTTTGTGTTTGCAGGAAGAAATAATATCTGCAGAAAGTCAATTAATTTACATGAGTTAGAAAAAGTCTGTAAGGTCCATAGGGAGCTTGGAAAGCAGAAGCACAGATTTGGTCAACGCATTGAGCATTGCAGGGGCCACATCTCTGTCTTCAACAAGAGGACACTGACATTCTTATTGTCCGACTGACTGTGTCTGTTTGTAGTGATGAATTCCCTCTCAGCGGAGGGAGAGAAAGCTGTAAGTATTCAGAAAGGTACAAAGACTGTTTCTGAAGCCGAATGCTTGACCCAGTCCTGTACGTTTGGAGTGGGTGATGAGGGTTTTAAAGAGAAACAAGCCGTAATGGTGTTCCAAGGTCTGGGAAGCTGAGTGCAGAGGAGATGAAGCTACAGTTTTGAAAACCGACCGGGTCGTGTAGTACAGAGGGGCACTGCTGGTGACCTGCACCTGCTGATGCGTTGTTCAGTACACACCTGTAACACGCAGGGTCACAGGAAGACGCACAGCCTGGCGCACACATGGCCGAACAGACGTGACGTTCTGAAACCCTCCATTTCCACCTGCTTTCTAACTGATTCAGGACCGAGGGGGAGCCAGAGCCTGTCCTGACAAGCACCGGGTACAGAATACACCCTGGATGACACGCCAGTCCATCACAGTGTACACACACACACCAGACACCAGGGCCAATTTTCTCAGATCCCAGTTAACCCACTAGTATGTCTTGGACTGTGGGACGAAACCAGAGCACCTGGAGGAACATCCACATGACACAGGGAGAACATACAAATTCCACACAGACAGCACCCCGGGCTTGGAATTGAGCAGTGCTAAGCACTGTGCCACCGTGTCTCCTTTCTGAAAGTGCAGTGTGAGTGAAACAATGTGTACGCCTGAACCAAGCTGGGGTGGGGAGTGAGGGAAGGGCCGGTTGTGGTGCGCTCTGTCCAGCAGACTGCACTGCAGTAAGACCTGTGCGTGTTTGTGTGTGCGCAGGTGTACGAGGAGAAGCAGAAGCGCTGTGAGCTGGAGCTGGAGGAGCTGCGGCAGAGCTGCGCGGCCCGGCTCAGGCAGGCCTCCCAGAAGGCCCAGCGCGCCCAGCAGGTGCTGCAGCTGCAGGTGTTCCAGCTGCAGCAGGAGAAGAAGAAGCTGCAGGAGGACTTCGCCCAGCTGCTGCAGGAGAGGGAGCTGCTGGAGAAGAAGTGCGCCTCCATGGAGCACGAGCACACCCAGCTGGGCCCAAGGCTGGAGGAGACCAAGTGGGAGGTGGGTATGGGGGGGGGGAGAGTTTGGTTCGTACCAAGTACACTCATTTCGACTGGTGACCTAAAATGGGTTCTTACTGTTGAGCTTGCAATACCATCCCTTAGGTCTGTAGTGTTTTTGAACAATTGAATAAAACACCCTCTCTTCCAGAGAAAAAGGGTTCGGTTCCCTTAGCCTCAGAGTGTATGATATTTCCTTTAGATCAAGAATTGTTTCTGAATTTCTGGACCTTTTCTAGTGCTGCAAAGACCTTTTTGTGGCATTAGGGACATGGAGAGGAAGAACTTATCAGGCAGTGAACGGGGAGTAATGGCTGCTGAACTGAATTGATCAGTACGGTCAGATCTTTACCGGGCACAAGTGTGGAAGTTTAAAAAGATAGTACTGAGGTTAAAAAGGAATGATCTGTGCTGGAAGTTAGATGTTGGGTCCTTTTAGATTCCATCCAGAATTCAGGGAATCTGACATAATTAAACTGATCAACCAATAGAAATCTTCAGCTATGAGGCAGATTTATAGTTAAGTAATATCCACACACAAACTCTTCTAGAAACTCATGGGCTTGATTAGTTTGATGAGCATGGTTAGTTATCTGAGGTGGCATAGCAGTGCAGTGGTTAGCACTGCTGATTCGCAGTGCAGGGTCCCCGGGTTCAATTCCAGCCCTGGGGTATTATCTGCATGGAGTTTGTATGTTCTCCCCACGTTGGCGTATTCCAAAAACATACTGGTAGGTTAACTGGCTTCTGGGAAAACTGGCCCTGGTGTGAGTGTGCCTCTGTGCTCCCTGCGATTGGAAAAAGCCGTTAGAAAATGGTTGGATGATTAGTTATCTGTAGCAGCAGGTTTGAAGCTATGTTAGTGTCCGTTTCTTGGCTGGTGCCTGAGAGAGCTGTGTGTCTCTTTCCAGGTGTGCCAAAAGTCGGGGGAGATCTCCCTGCTCAAGCAGCAGCTGAAGGAACTGCAAACCGACCTGGGACAGAAGGCCAGCGAGATTGTGGCATTGAAGGCACAGCTGAGGGAGGCCCGAGGGGAGCTGCAGGCCAGCCAGGCCCACACACAGGAGGTGCACGCAGCGGCCCGCACTCGCACGCTGGAGCTGGAGGTGTGCGAGAACGAGCTGCAGCGCCGCAAGAGCGAGGCCGAACTGCTGCGGGAGAAGGTGGGCCGGCTGGAGGAGGAGTCGGCCCGCCTCCGGGAGGCACTGGGCATGCCCGGTGGGCAGGGCATGGCATTAGGCCCCGCCCCTGGTGGGCGTGGCCCGGGCCTGAGCCCGCTCATGGGGCCGGTCTACAGAGAGGAGGAGCAGCTGCTGGCCTACGAGAGCGATGAGGCCAAGGCCCAGCGGCTGAGCGCCGACGCCCTCCTGGGACTGAAGCAGCAGGTGGAGCGGCTCCGGGCCGAGCTCATGTACGAGCGGCGGCGCAGTGAGGACCAGCTGGAGGCCTTCGAGGACGAGCGCCGGGTGTGGCAGGAGGAGAAGGAGAAGGTGATTCGCTACCAGAAGCAGCTGCAGCAGAACTACATCCAGATGTACCGTCGCAACCGGGAGCTGGAGCACGTGATGAGGGAGCTCAGTCTGGAGCTGGAGACCCGGGAGCTGGAGGAGCTGGAAGTCCGCGGCTCCGAGATCCACTTTGAGGAAATCACTGCCACGGAGATCTAGGGCTGGCGGGTTTCGCCTGTCAGTGGACAGACACATTCCACGATCCGTGCCAATCAAAGCCATGTGCTGAATTCTGGGGGATCAGGGGGGATTTCCCTTGTGGAAAAAGCAATCTCAGCAATAGCATTTGTCTTCAGGATGAAAGTAAAAACAAGTAAAACTCATAAGGATACTGTCACCTTAGCTTGAGGCAAGCAAACACCCATTATCTTCCCTTCTCTGTACCGTTCTGTAGCTCAAACTAAGGCAAGGAAAAATATGCAAGATAATTAATGAATGCAAGCAATGAGTGGACAACACTTTTTGCAATAGGAATTTTGATTTACTGTATGACTACTGGCTGACATGAGGTCATCTGAGACAAAAGTAACATGTAGATCTACCCGAGTGACCATATCAGTCTCCTGACCCTTCCAGGAGACCTGATCCAGGATGACATATAGACTCTTTTGCATCATCACATGATGTAGCTGCAGTCTTAAACCCCACTGAAGCCTGAGACAGACCAAGCCGGGCAGGAAAATGACTCGCCTCTCGGTCTGATGGTAGAGAGGGGTTGTGATGTTGAACGGTAGAAGGAAGAGTGTGAGGTTACACCTGCATGAGATTGGAGGGAGAGGCTGCACCTGTCTGGCTGCAGTTAAACCGTTACCTGATCCTCGTACCTCTATTATACAGTATTGCCATATTCAGACAGGAATACCTGAGACTGCATTGCCACACCGAGCGCAAGCAGCACTATCTGCTACATCCCTGGTAAGCATCCACAGGCAGGGCCTGACTTGGTGGAATCCTAAGTTTCCTGGGAAAATCAGACAATTTGATTGTATTTAAATATTAAAGGCCTCCATTTGTAGCTGAGTTTTATAGCAGCACGCGCATTGTAATTTGGAATGAACAGGAAGTGAGCTGCCCTGCATTTTACAATATACTTGCATCCTTGGTAATCAATAGCCCTTTTTATTATAAGTACAGAATCGTTTTTCAATGGGTATGATAAAGCTATAAGCATCAGTGGGAAAGTACCAGAGGTGCTTCTGTGTCATTCGTCCAGTGAGTTCCATGAGTGCACTGGGCAGGGCTACTAGCCACATGGTTCTGGCTGGAGCAGTACTTCCAAGTTACGAAAGTATTTCCGACTGTTAAAGAATGGCTGTTGGTTTTCGTATCTCGACCTGAAAGTCACCTAGCATGCCACAATGAAAATCCATTTCATTTTTCACTTAATTTGTTCACTGTATTGAGTAGCCTTGTGTTGCCGCGACAGGATTGCATAAAGAGCATTAGGCACTTTAGACAGAAGCCCGCTTCCACAACTTAGCATAAGTGAAAAGATTGTACCGCTGTGTGTAACATGCCAAACACGTAGTGGTTGACTCTAGGTTTCCTAGGGATGGTTCAGTTTCGAGAAGTCGCATCCGACATGTCTTGAGTGTATTATACAACACACTCAAGTCCTGCTCCTGAAAGGCCACAGTTTGACCCTGTTGAGGGCCTCTTTGTATGGAGAAGATTGTATAGGAGGGTTTGAACTGGTCCAATTACAGTCTTAATTCACCTGTCATCTACAAAACTTACAGGATTACAGCCCTTGGTACAGTGAAGGCAGATTCATAGTCGAGTCCTGCTTGGAACTGGTTAACTAATTTAAACCAAGTCTTTTGCTCAGTATAGCCTCTAGAAACAATAGAGATTTTCCCAAATGAATCTAGATTCTGTCCTCAATAGTGGAAACCCCCAAGTTGTGTGCTGCCCTCCTTGTTGGGAGAGACCCACGCCATGCCTGAGTCAGCACATCCTCGAAACCCAAAGAAGACCAAATGGTGTTGTCAGGTTGGAACAAAGTAAATGGTTGGTTTAGACAGCAAGGCTCTTTGGAAGACAGAAAAGTACATCTCCCGAGAAGACCCTCTAATGATGACTGTTAACTGTTTCTGCCTCTTGCCTGCCCCAGCAGATCATCTTATTATCAAACATCCTGGGGCTGGCAGTCACAGACCCCACCAGCCCAGTATGAATGTGATTTAAAAAAAGTCAAGAATGTGCAACGCCTCTCCTCGAACCCAAGAGATTGTGTGGTTTTAAAGAGATGGTTTTAAAGCAAAGGGCAAGTCCAGCGGAGTTCAGATCTTTATTTTTCTATTCCTAACCAAAAATGAAATCAAATCAAACTATTTTTTTACCCTAAACCTGGATTGTATTGTGTCCTGTGTGTGCAGCCTCAGTACCTGATGGTGCTCGCTCTTCCTCACTCTTCCTCGTGCACTGGAAAGGGACGTGTCTGCATGCTGGCGAACAGGGCCTCGGCTCGCCCGCCCGGCCTCTCGAGCTTCAGATCTCGGACAGACCGCCTCCTCCACTGCAGAACCACCCTCTGCTAGTTTGGGTTTTGCAACAACACCTGTCGGATGTCCCCACTCCCAAGGACTGGTTTGTAGATCAAACAGGAACTGGTCACAAGCTGGGTATTTTTTATACACTGTTGATCTCCTCCATTTAACTGGTCACTCCAGGATGAGGCGGATAACTGGTTTTACAGGAAAAACCTTCTTTCAAAGATCACTGAGTTTTAAAATTCTATTTTTATAGCTTCTTCATTGATTCTGTGGCGTCAGTCGGAAACCGCACCCGAGACTGAAGAATTGTTCTGTCTTGTATCTTATTCAGAATCATCTAATTGCTTGACTGGACAAGTCAATCAACTGCTTCAGTAGAGGTGCTGAAGTAACTGTGCCATATCACATATATAGATAAGGCAAATAATAAATGTAGAAGCATTTTATACAAAAGCTTTTTCTATCATATCGGTTCATCCATCATCACTGCTTTCCCATGGACTTTTCTTGTGGGAGCAACCCATCAGTGTCGTGGGAACTGGTCAAGTTACTGCCCTCCTGCTAGAGCTGTAAAGGGGACATACAGTAAGCCAGAGAAAGTTGGTTGGTCTATATTGTGAAAAATGTGTTTTATGTGTAAAATTTGTTCCATGTACAAGAGAGACCAATGGCCAGTTCTGACTGGGTGAGGCCACTGCACTGCGGAGATTGCTGTCAGCTCAAGGCGAGGGTCTTTGTACACTCGAGAACACCGTTTGGGACAGCAGTTCCCTACCCTGGTCTTGGTGTCCCCCTTTTTTGAGATTCAGCCAAGCTGTTAATTAAGATTAATCTGTCTCCAGTTGAATATTAAGTAAGATTCTTAAGAACTTGGATTTGGTTAGCAATTAACCCTGAGCCAGTTTTCTCATTCGGGTGTGTGGAATGTATTTGTACTCCTCCAGAAAACTTATGTGGGGGGGGGCTGTTTTCTGAAGTTTCATTTGATCAATGTCTGGACATTATTAGTTGATCACCTAAAGGTCAGCTTAGGTGCAGTGAGTACCAGAAGACACAGACATGCTCCAGGACCAGGGTTGGAAACTAGTGCTGTGGAGTATTGATGTCCCCTGCTGTTTCTCACATATTTGTGCGTTGTGTGGTTGGTGGACATGCACTAATTTCATTACCCCATGGTGCACACCGCTGACTGACTATGAGTATTTTTCATTGAGTAGGCGATGCACAGGGTTAGCATTTACTTTTGATGTGAAAAGGAGCAGGACAGGACATCCACGACAAGGAGAGCTGTAATCCCACAAGGTGTGTTTCTCATCATTCATTGACCTGTCAGCTGCTGCTTTCTAAAACAAGATCATGACGCCTCTCACATGTGACGTGCTGAATTACCCTACTTGTGCTCCTTCCAGTCCTGGTAGGATTTTCACTCCAAATGGGCTCTAGACCACCTGCATAAAGAGACATGGCATGTTTTTATGATTATCAAGAGTCATCTGTCAGCCCTGCTGGATTGTGGCTCTCCAGGACCAGGGCTGTTTCACCCTGCTCATTTGGCCAATCGCACTTCCAGCTGCTATCAGCAGTTGTTTTGAATGATGAATCTGTTTTGGAATCACAAAATGTTTTAGGGTGGTATGTTTTTTCATTCAACCTCCCTAAAAAGAGGGAGGTGGAGAAATATCCAGGAAATTATCAACTCTGTGATACCATGTCTTGTGTTTGGGGGGGTTCAATGATATCATACTGTATCTTTCGTTCAGACGTTGCAGCACCATGTTGAGAAAGTCTGAACTCTGCCTTTCAGACAGTTTAGAACTAGTGTGTTTTATTTGTATTATTCGAACAGACTGTTATCCTACCCTTTTAAACCAGGGCCATCAAACATTCTTGCAGGGACACTGTGTTGACTGGGATTCGTTTCCCGTGAGCTCTGAGTTCCTATATCAGTTCAATTATTTCTTTATTTGTAGAACACATTCCCACTGTTCCTAGTCCTGTAGTGAGGAAGCAAGTGCATTAATTGTACGGTAACCTGCAAAATCCCTTCTATTGTATCAAACTGAGTATATCAGCAGGTTAGTGAACTTGTCACTGGAGTAAAAAAACTGAAGACAGCCCTCAAGTACTTCTCCCCATTTATACAATCTAGACTATAGTGCATCACAATGGTCAAATAGCCCAGCCACCCTTCTCCTAAAGGGAATCACTTCTCTGCCTGTACAGAGTCTGCCAGCCTGTTTCAGTGTGTCTCTCCTCCTTAATTACACATGAAATCATTTTGCTGTACATTTATTACTAAACCCCTTCCTGTAAATATTCCTAACAGCGAGTTATATTCAGTCAGAAATTCTAGAACTTTATGCAGACACTATATCTGTTTCAGGAATTAGCCACTGTGAATAGACCAAAGCAAAGTAACACGCCTGTTTTTCTCTTTCCTTGTGTGTATGCCTGTGCGTATTAGTGATTGTTTTCTATATATATATTTTTAATCCGCTGTATGTGTAGTCATTAATGTACATTTTTCATGCTGTAAATTTTTTCTGTACAAAATAACTGTGTTTTTAATAAAAACCCAGTTGGAAAACCAGAGAAAGGGCACCAAGTTGACATTTTTCATGAATGTACTGTAGGTAGGGGACTGACCACTGCAACCTGCTGCCATTTAAAAAAATCTCCATTTCAACCGCATTTTTCTTCATGCTCCAGTGGTGTTTTTGCTAAATACAGGCTGCAAGGTGCTGTGTAGAATGATTCAACACAAATGGGTGGTCTGCAGTGTGAGCGATGACCAGTGTGCAAGGGAGCTAAGGGCACTGATGATGGGACTTCCTCCAGGTGTAAATCTTAAAAATACATTTTAGGGACACTTTGTATGAAATAGCCAAAATTATAAAAACAGTCACTGTAGTGAGGGGAAGAACCATATATTTTCTCAAGCATCATTATAATAATAAATTCTTACACTTACGTAGCGCTTTTCTGCACACTCAAAGCACTTAACAGGACATGGTGACTCCCCTCCACCACCACCAATGTGCAGCCCCATTGGTAAAGGACCAATGGGAAATTTGGCCAGGACGCCTGGGTTATACCTCTACTCTTTTCGAGAAACATCCTGGGATTTTTAATGACCACAGAGAATAAGGACCACAGTTTTAAGTCTCATCCGAAAGACAGCGCCTTTTTACAGTATAGTGTCCCCGTCACTATACTGGGGCATTAGGACCCACAGACACACACAGTAGGGAGTGAGTGCCCCCTACTGGCCCCACTAAACACCACTTCCAGCAGCAACCTTAGTTTTTCCCAGGAGGTCTCCATCCAGGTACAGACCAGGCTCACACCTGCTGAGCTTCAGTGGGCTGCCAGTTGTGAGTTGCAGGGTTGATATGGCTGCTGACAATTCTATTACCCTCGCCTCTAAGCTCGCCGTTGCACACCTCTGCACCAGCACAGGGACGTGCCTGCTGTCCAGCCCTCAATGCCCAACGCAGAGTTGGCATCACCTGGGCAAGCGGTAAACACCAGGGGGTCACCATTACGCGGTGAGCTGGGGTACCCAGGCTGACTCCAGCCGACCCACCAGTCAGCTAACCACATACAGTAGCCCTGCCCTGAACCAGTCACGTCTCGTCTGTGAGTCTCAGTCTGTGTCTGTTCTGCACTAGGGATAATTCAAAGCCATCAAGAGTTTAAATCTGTAAACTCACCACGGAGCAAACACACTTTGTCTAGTTCCCCTAGTATACATTAATTATCCTCCAGCACTGCAGTGGTGTTGAGTGACAGAGCCACAGGAGGTACAAAAAAAATAAGACTGGTGGATCTCTGTTCATGCAATTCAGAACCACTGCATGTGAGGACAGCACAGATTTGAGCATTCAGCCACAGCAAGGAAAAAAATTGTCAATATTGTGTTTTTATTGGAATTTGAATGACACACAGGGTCTACCACGGGCTGTTAAATGTTTGCCATTTGCTATTGCAAAGTTGTATGAACACAAGGCACTTGCTGCAGGTGTATAAGAGCGTATTTACAGTGAACATCCAAACTGTCGGTGTTCAGATATGCACACACCTTATCCAATTCTTTGCAGAGCAGAACAGGCCTGTGCTAGGAGCCTATCACTGTTCAAAGGTCAGCACTGGACAGCTGCCAGTGTCCGGTTCTGCGTTACTGATTGTTAGTGTTTCCAAGGGAAAACCCTTTTACACCTTCAGCTGCTTACTATTTGCAGCTAACACTGGTAATATACTGTACATACACAACCCAGTCTGTACTGTACATGTAGGTAATGGTTTATTGACGTTTACTGCTTTTAGCATAGTTACTTTGGTATAGATGCTATGCTTGATTTAAGTTTTTCTTATACAATTTTTTCTTTCGTTTCACATTAACCTTAATCGTCATTAACCTACTGTAATTGCCATATTTTTTTGTGGACTACAAGATCTTGCTATTATATTTCATTTTTTGCCCTCTGAAACAGCACCACCCTCCTGTTTTACTTTTCTTTTCTGCTGCAGTGTAGCTTTAAGGTGTGTGAGCCCAGTAGTTCTACAAGTCTTTCTCTGGTTATTTTCAGCACCAGTCTGTGCTGCAAGGACACTGAGCTGTTGCCACACAGACAGATCTAAGACCCTGCCTGACACCAGGAGGTTTGACATTGCAGAAACCAGACCAGTATTAAAAACCAGTGACGCGTCCACCACTCAACTCCCACTGCATGTCTCCTGCACAGTGGGAAAAGTGGGCATCTCTCATCTAGGACAGTGTAAGTTAACACTGTGTTACACTGAGGACATGCAGCCATTCCCAAAACCCTTAATAGCTGCTTTCCTTGTCCTTAAAAAGTGGAGCAACCCTGGTAAGCTTAGTAATTATACAGATTTTATCCAGGAAAGAGAAGTGTTTACAGTACAATAGGCTGCTGAAGGAAGTGACAATAGCTGAGATTTTTTTCCAAAACAGCAGGATAAGCTGTCTTGGAATGTACAGTAGGTGGTAAAGCCATCAGAGCTGCTCTGATAGTGCCATTCTTTCCACTGTCCTCTGGAGTCCTGAACCACAGCAAGTATAGAATCAGAATTTTCCAAACTGAACCCAACATAATTATTGCTAAGAAGGAATAGCAGTCCTCTTTACTTCTGAAAGTGGAATGGGTGCTGCTGCTGCAATTTATCAACTATTCCTGCCTGTGTTTGAACAGATTTCTACACGTGATGGAATTTCCATAACACTAGAGGAGCTGTTTCTCAGAAACATTAACTGGAGGCAGTTCTGTTTGTGAGCTGAGTCCTAGCCCGAGACAAAGAGAAGCAGCTTTTTCACAGTTCAAAGTCTCTGAATTCTGTTCAGCTGCTTTAGTGCTGGTGCCTCAGCCTTCTGGCATTTCCATGCCTTCTCTTCGTACGGCTGATAGTATCACAGATCCTCCTCTGAACTCTAGGGGGAGCTGTGGAGGATCTCCTACCCAGCCTGCGCCTGCTGTGTCGAGCCAGGGAGTCAGTCTCTGGAGCTCTTGGGCACTTTCACCACGAACACCATGGGGTCAGTGGCCTTGTTGCTGAAGGCGCGGCGGATGGTGTCCACAGCATGTTGATGAGTGACTCCCTGCAGGCTCTCCCCATCCACTGACACCAGCTCGTAGCCAGCCTGCCGCCATGCCAGGGCGAGAGAGAGAGGGAACGAGGGGTCAGGACAGACTCACACCACCAGCAAACAACTCTCTGCCATGTAGGTGCAGCCTCTTCATTATACATTACATGCAACGGTGATCAATGGGGACCAATCCCCATACAGTACAGTAATAACGAAATATTGAAAAGTTACAAACGCCCAGTTGATTTAACCAGTTACTGAGAGCTTATTGATCCAAGGGCCTTATCCTGGTGGTGGGGGACCAGTAGGTGGCACTCTTCCCTCTGGATGAGAATTTCCAGCCCGATGCTTCAATATGGTGACCAGGGACACTGTGCTGTAGGAGATGCTGTCCGTCACACGAGACATTAAACCAGGGTCCTGCCTACCTGGTCATTACAGCTCCCAGGGCTGTTGCTAGGAGTAGGGCTGTCCTTTAGGATTGTGCAGTCTGGCCTCCAGAAATATCCCCTTATTTGCTAAAATAAGGAAACTGGAGACTGAAGTGGGTCCTCTCCAATTTTATAAATGCTTTGGTACCATTTGTGATGAAAAGCACTATATACTGTAACTACAAGGATTTTAATATTCCCTATGACATTCACAGCGTCCCTTTGAATATGTTTGCCAAATATGTGTTCACTAGTGGAAACTATGGGGAAGTGTGTTAAAATCTGTGAATAGGAGGCACCTCTTTTCACAAAAGGATGTGGGAGGATGGAACAGGCTACCCAGCAATGTTGTAGTAGCACTGTGGCTACTACCAAACTGGCCAGATGGGCTAATTGTTCTCCTCTCTTCTATAACCTTTCTTATACTCTTATGTCACTCATTGTTCATTTCCTACTGATCAAGGCTTGTACAATACCCCCAGACAGGTCAACATCGTGTCAGGCCATTCGACTTTGAATGCTGAAATTCCTATTGATCCCGTTTGCATGTTTTAAGGCCAAGGTGGGTCTGCTTTATGTAACAGTGAGACTAGTGGCATCCTAAACCTGTTGCAAAGGCTGCTGAGAAGCTGTTGAAGGAGAAGTAACAGGAGAGTGGCGCCTTCTGCGTGTGTCTGCCCGCCAGCTGAACGAGTCATTAATTAGCCGTTTCCTGGTCTCTACCTGTCTGCACACATGCCATGTTTACCTCTGACTTATGTGCGTCTAGATGAAATCATCTCCTCTTCATCATCAGCCCAGATATTTTTATAATGCTGGCAGCTGCCGCCCATTGTTGCACAAAAGCTGTGACCAACCCTGCTGATGGATTAGCGTTAAATTACCGACTGAGCTCTCGGCTCCTCAAAAGATGAAGCTTAACTGTAATTTTATACAGGGTCAAGGAGAACCGGAGCCTTTCCCAGCAAAAAACAGGCACAAGGTGGGATACGCCCTGAATGGGACGCCGGGCGTAAAGACAACCACTCACACCATGACTAAGCTCCCAGAAACCAGTTAACCTACCAGTATGTATTTGGACTGTGGGAGGAAACCCATGGGTAAACAGGACACAAATACAGATTCCACACAGAGAGCATCCCAAGTCCAGAGCTGAATCCAGGGCCCCAGCACTGCAAGGCAGCAATGCCAACCACTGTACAACCATACTGCCCAACTAGAAATTTTAATCAGAAACCTTCCAATAGCTGCATTAAATTAGAAAAAAAGGTCACATTTGTCTAGATGGCTTCCTTAATTTAAAAATCTTTTAATAGAAAGGGACGCTGGAAATTCAGAAGACACAGATCAGAGGACTAGGATTAGAAAGACCTGCATTTGCGCCAATTCCAATGGCCTGACAGGACAACTGCCATTTGCTCAATAGGAAACAAGGTTCCATTTGATTCACTGAGCACTGTTTCATGGCTTTTCCCATTTAAATTAGGTCTTTTGGTAGATTTTCTCTTTTCTAACTCAAAAAGAAATTGTTTTTGCTCTCAATTCAGAGAGATCAAAAACAAAGTTTACCATTTCTATTCATCCAGTCCAGTAGTTTTTTTCCACGCACCAGATTTTGTGCATTTGGTTGCTGCTAGAAAGCACCAGATTTTAGTCTATGACTGGGCAGGGTGGTGTCTTATCAGTATTTGACCACTTGAAAGTTTGACAATTGATTTAAAACAAAATGGCCACAAAAAACTTTTGACCTGCCTCTCACCATGAGAAACTGTCAATAGTGAAGTTACACAGCTCTTCACTGGTGACAAAGCTCCACAGTTCCTACACACTCCTCTCATTATCATAGCTTTAACCTTTTTATCTCGTGATTTCCATATTCGGTGTGTAGTATTTCCATATTCAGTGTATCCATAATTAATTGTGATCCCAGAGGCTCATTGTCTCCTGTCTCGCACAGTGATTCCTTGTGCATGTCCCCAGGAGGCATCGGACACACACACGGCTGTCACACACACCCTCTTTAACTCTTAAAGGTCCAGCCCTGTTTTTAAAGACCCAGCTTCTCACTTTGTGAAGCTCATATCATCATTACATGCCACAATTCCAAAAAATAAAGGGGATGTAAAAATCCTGGGAGAAGGGTTTATGAGTCACTGTAAGCAGCAGATCAGATCAACAGTATAAGTGTGACTGAAACCCACAAGTAACCAACTTTGCGGTTATCCGGTAACATCCTAGCTTGATCCAAGCTTGAATACTGCTTCCAGCTGGCCCCACGTCTTAAAAATATATAGAAACTTTACAAAAAGATTAAATGATAGCAAAAAGGCACCAGACTCAGCTAAGACAGACTGAAGAACCTCAATCTTCTGAAATCTCTGTAAAAGACAAGTGAGAGAGTTGACTGAAATGTTCAAATCTTTTTAGAGGTCATGGCCCAGATTACCACGTACACAGGCCACTGTGGCAGAATCACCTCGCGGGTAGGAAAATACCCTGGCTGGCACTGATGGACTGTGGTGGCTGACTCTAACCACAAAGTTAAAAATCCTGTTGCGTATCTCTGGGATGCAGCATGTGGAGAATTCTGGGTATCGTACTGTACTTCTGGGCTGTGGCCGTAAAAGTGTTAACAGCTCCAGCAGCGCTCCTGCTCTGCTTCTGGAGGTTTCCTGGAGGAGACGCACATGGTGAGAGGCCGACCCCAGTGAATGGGCAGCTTCCTGTGTAATCATCCGCAGTAAGGACACACCTGCCAGAGAGCAATGCTGAGAGGCCGCCTGGGACCCCTCTTCGCAGTTCCTTCCCCCCATTTATCTTCCCGACTTCACACGCTATCCTCTGCTGGCCCGCGGATGTCAGCAGCACCACGAGGGCTCTGGCACTGCGGGGACGGCAAACTGGGTCCAGCCTAATGGGGAGGTGGATTTTTGACACGATGCCCCCCTGACTGGCACACATTGCTCATTCCAGGCCTCCAGGCTGCTGTGGGCACTGCACCTGTGCTATTATAGCAACTGACTCACGAAAGTGGAGTAGTTGAAGTTTTTTTTTTCCTGAGTTAAGATGTAAGGAGATGTGGAATTGGGCTACAGGGCTCTGCCAAATTAAGTACAAATTAATCTAATAGAATAAAAACTGTGCAAGATGACTGAAGCTGTACGACTCTTCCAATGTGGCTGGCAGCAGACAGAAAGTCCACTATATATTCATTAAATAAAACAAGGAGATTGTCATGGTTTTTCATTTTTACTGTGCATTGCACTGAGACCTGCAGGAGGCGCTATTGTGTATGAATACTAACGGAGAGTAACAAGGGAAGCGTCCTGCTCTTATTCTAGGGAAAATTGAGTCTCTGCTGTTAGCAGACTCTAATAATGTCTCCTCCTTCATGGCTGTCTCAGAGGACCACTGCAATGGATCCCCCTAAAACAGCACTTTTCTCTGGCCACTGAGGACAGACAGTAAAGAGAAGCTGGTGGAAGAAGATTTGTGGAAACTGATCAGCTTCATTGTTAATAATTACCCACACGCCTGACACACACAGACTTGGCAAAGGGAATGTGTGCTCATGCTGCTGAGTCTTTTAGCACACTATAAAAGGCTGCAAAAAATGAATTTGACTAGACAAAAAAAGGACAAACTATATATTTTTTTGAAAATGAATTCTGGATAAAGGGAAGACAGGAGAGCGTGCCTGGTATTCACTCCACTGCGTTAAAAAGTTCATAGATCCCCTGGCTCCAAAGGGAAAACCCCCCTGTAGCTGCAGCTGTCCCATTGTGCATTACTAAGGCGGCACTGTGAAAGGGGATCCGGCCCAGGAGCACAAGCAGGCCTGTAACCCCCTCCCACACCAGGCAGCGAGGCACACACTGCGCTCTGTTCCACATGGGAAGTGTCACGAACCGCATACCTGCAGTACGAGCACCTCTCACCGCCAACACCCGCGCACTAATTAATCATTTGTCATTCCTCACGCTCTTCCCTATTTACACCCTCTCACTCCACTCACTCCCCGCTCACTATTGAGAATAACCCTTGGCTTTTTCTGGTGCACGTAGACTACTCTCGACCTGATTTTGGCTACCCGACCTTGTTTCCTCCTGCTCCGACTTTGTCTCACCTCTCGTTTTGGATTTGGATACCCTCGGCACTGACTCTTTTGGCTACCCGACCTAATTCTTTTGTTTCGACAATTACTTTTGCCTTTTGCTTTTGGGATTTGGATGCTAATCGGTAGCATTCACCTTCAGTCCAACCTGCTGCTCCTAACGCCATCAATGACCTGTGATCTTACACAGAGTAACAACACCTCAGGCAACGGCACGTGTTTCACTGCCAGACGTGAGTTGTACTAAGTGCTCAGATGCAGACCACACTTATGGGCAAATTTATACAGCAGCAAATGATAGAACAAAGGGGTGATCACAGGATTTCACTGAGCAGATTACAGGCTCCTGTCCTGCACACACCAGTGAGGACGTTGTCTCATAGCCTAGTGCTTCCTCTTGTTATGATTAAAGCCCTACAGCTGGGGAGGGTGTGTCTCGCCTGATAAATCAGCTTGCGGCATTCGATGTATGCTTTCCCCTGGAATGTAACAGAGCACAAAATCACTTCAACATACCTTTTATCATTTGAAATCAAAATCATTTAAAAATATTGGATGGAAGGAAAATCAGTAATCATGGCAGGGAACACTGTTCTGGGGTGTGAAACAGTGCTACAACAGCAGTGAAAAAAAAAACAAACTATAACCGCTGTAAAGATTTTAAAACCTTCTCAGTATCGGAAGGAGAGTTAAGGTCTGGTTAAAGAACAACGTGCAGATACACCCAGTCACTTTGCATCTACAGTAGGTAGTGTACATTGCAGAAGATGAAATAAATGATACAGTACTGAACTAGATCACTTTCCAAAGGACTTGCTCATATAGATTGTGGAATTCCCAACATAAGACGTATAAATCCTACTAAAATTATACCTTCAAGAGTTTGACCTCACTAGGATTGTTCGCTGTGTGACAAGAGAAACCTTGTGCTAGAAGCAGTGCAAAGGAGAGCAGGGCTAACTCCTGGTCAGAAGGGCAGGTCAAGGGAGCTGAATCAGTAAGTTTATAACAGAGAGCACCACATGACATCATTAAAGTATTCTAAATCCTGAGGGGTTTTGATGAGAGACTTTTTCACAATCAGCAACAATGAAAGGATGGATGATCACAAGCAGAAAATAAGCTAAGGAACCTTCAGGAAAGAGACAACTTTACACTAAAGGTTGTAAGGGTCTAGAACCAACTCCCTAACCTTAAGATTAAATCCAATTCTGTGGATCCTTTAAGATCCAGTTATTTGATAGGATTCCCGGATCAGTGTGTTCTAGCAAACAGATGGACTAGATGGTCTCATTTGTAATCTTTTTAACTGAGTGAACACACACCCCTTCCCTTCACTTTTCCTACAGGAAGACACACTAAGCAGCTGTTGCAATTGATGACACAACTTCCTAACCAGAGCCTGTAGTTCACCATCACTCCCCTATCTCTTCGGACATCACTTGTTACTTTCAAACCAGTGACCTGGTGGTAAAGGTGATGCTCTGAGGTTCAGTTTAAGGCAGTATTGTGGGAGTCAACATCTCTCAGGACAGAACTGAGACAAACTGCACAGCTGTTTCAGGTTTTATGAGTGGTATATCGGACATGTAGAATTAAAGTGACACTAAGCACTTTTATCTCAACTTCATCAGTAGAACGTGCACCCGAAATTGCTCAGACAGCTAAGTAATAGGAGTCTTATCAAGTCTTATCGTTTTCCATACACTAGATCTGGCGTGACACCACATGTGACATCACAGCAGACGTGGAAACTGAGACGCCTAGCAGACATCTGATCTCCCCGCGGCCCCTGTAGCATCCCTTGCACGGTGCTGTCACCTGATCCGTACCGGCCTTGAGGAGGATCCCACTCCACACCTGGGATCCCAGCCTTGACCTCACTCTCTGGGTCACTTCACAGCACGCCTGCCCAGTACGGAGCACAGCTCACCTTCCCGAACACCGCCATGCCATCAAACGCTCCAGTATTGAAGCTGCTAGTCTGACAGCAGTGTCCTCCCTTCAAGCCCATCTTCACCCTCTTCTTCCTGTTTTATAGCATTTTATAGACTATTTAATTGTTTGCTTGGAGAGATTTGGGGTGTATTAAAGTACTAACACTGAAGATCTGATTAATCCACTTCCCATGAATTTTTCACACTAATTATTGTTATGTGGTGCAACAACAGAGGGAATATTCAGGTGGCCCAGTGGGGTTAGTGCTACTGCCTCAGGGCTCTCTGGTCCTGGGTCAGACTGAGGACAGGGGCGCCGTCAGGTGGAAAACTATAACAAAGAAGCAATGTGTTGCACTGGGTATCACTGCCTCTTCACAGCTGCATGGTCCTGGATTCGGATCTGGATCTATCGGTGTGATGTTTGCATGTTCTCCTCATGCTCTGGTGAGTTATCCTCGAGTGAAATACCTGCTCTCCAGGTTAACAGGCAGGAATTGCTCCCAACATGACTGTGTGAGAGAAATGTCTGTGTGTCCTCCGATGGCCTGGCCTCCCATCCAAGATGTAGCCCTGCCTTGTGCCCCGTGCCGACTCAACATGACCCACTAAGGTTGAAACACCTGCCGAGTATGGATCACTAGGGCACAGTACTCATCTGGGCAGCATGTCTGGCAGGGAGAGCGGGCACCAATGTCCAGGAGACAGGACCAGTTGTCTGCCAACACACGCATTGCCTGTTTGGCGCTCCTTAATAATTGCCATTAATTAATGTGGTGTATGCTATTTGATCCTGCTAGCAGGGTACCCCATGCTTTTCACATGTCTTTCAGTAGCAACAACGGGGATGCTTTGCTACTGTCTAAATAAGGTTCTGTACACAGGCTGTAAACCAGGGCCCTCAAAAAAAAACAACTTCAGCCACAGTCAGCCCTCCATGCAGCTCTGAAATCGTTGTTTCTTTTTACTTTGGCTTTGTCTGTCCTCACAATACCAGCAAGAGTAAGGCCGAGGCTCAAAGTTCCAAAGGCTTTGCCCTTACCAATCCCTACAAATGCATCAGCCCTTCTCTCTGAACACCCACCTCTGCACTCAGAAACCTGCTATATTGGTTTGTCTGTTTTTTTTTTTAACATGTGGCCAGGATGATTAAACAAGTCTCCGCTTTTCAAACATCACAGACTTTGCCCCTCAGCTCTTTTTGGGGTCACTATTTAGGGTTCATGACCCCAAAGGAATATACAAAACCCAACTTGAGCTACAATTGTTCACAGTTGGTTTAGGTGGAAGTTAAGACGCTGACCTCTCTCCTGTTCAGTGTTAGAAAATGGAAGACAATGCAGGTGATGTTAAATAGTAACTACTGACTGACTGGCATAGTAGGCTTGTTGCCTGTGGCTCTCAAGGGATATGGTCCAGCCTAGTCTCTTTAAATCACAATCCCTTTCCCCTCAGCTGATTAAATTCTTCCTTCACTGGACCAATTACCCTTCTAACCCGAATTCTAACTCGAAACCCTGGAAATACATAAAAAGGCAGCTCTAGTCTTATCGTCCACCCCAAACCGTGTGCAGAGACCTGGACAGTGCAGGCATGCAGCTGCTGGAGAAGTGGGGTCAGAGAGCAACGCACTGAGACTCCGCTCCCTGGGAGTGTCGGGAAGTGCCTGGCCAGGTGCTGGAAGGGGCAGCCTCACCTTCAGTGTGGCACTGCTGGAGGCTGCTCCGCCAGGAAATATCTTCTCGATCTTCACCACCGGCTGCACCTTGGATTCCATCCCTCCTGAGATGCTGATTCCTGGAGAGATAGAGGGTGGGTTAGGATCCCCGCCCAGGAGAACAATCGCTGAGCGCGATTGAGCCATGTCTGCGCTGCCATCGGTCACATCAGTCAGACACGTGGCACTGTGGGAGAGCCCTGTTCTTACTGACTGCCTGGGCTGTCAGTCAGAGGACTGAGAAGGACTGGGCACTGGACGTGACAGGAATGAACAGCACTCCTGAGCCACGCCAGATCCGTCCTTATTATAGCAGCTACAAGAAGGGCTATTTCACCATCACCTCCTCACATGATGAAAAACTAGAAGCCAAGGGGTTATATTTTTGCTGTTTCCCTGTGGTTTCTAACTGGATGAGATAAACGGTGTGCATGGCCCTGAATTTAAATTAAATGGGAGAAGCGGTTCTGTGATTATATTATCCATGATTGGTAGCCGTCTTATGAAATGCCCTTTTCAAGCAGCAGTGAGTGTATCAGAGCCTAATGCAGTAAAAAAAAACAAAGCTCTGTTCTGCACTGGAGAGCATTTTAACATTTAATCTAGAGAGATTATGCTTCAGTATAGGCTCACTGTTATGATGGATCTCTCCTAAATCCTCATTATATCCCGGAGGTCTTCTCCATCAGTCCACCTGGATTGTCAGATATGGCCACATGCATTATGTAGCCCTGTTACTATAAACAAACATGTTAGATAACCACCAGCCTCTTCTGTGCACTGAGCCCTTACAGCCATTTGCCAATGAGGTTCAGCACTGAAATCCAAAATTAAGATATTGCAACTTTACTCCCTCTACTGGCCATTCAGTATAAAGACAGCATGAAAACAGCAGTCGATGTTAACGGTGCATTATAATTGAATTACAGTTAGCCAATATTAATTTAGCTTGGCACAGGTACAGTAAAATTAAAGCAGGGCTGGTGACATTCTTAATGAATGTAATGCAGCATGGTGCACTGATAAATGTAATAATGTAATGATGACGTGCATTGCACAAGATGATGACAGAGCTCTGCCCTACTTAAATAAGGCCCCTAAAGAATAGAAGTTTCCCGTTTACCCTCAAGGATAAACATCAGCCTTCTACATAAGCACCTGCTTCTGCCTGATACAAAAAGATCAAGCAACCAGATGCTGCTGCCTGTGCCTGCTCTGTTTGGTGATTGGTACAGCCATATCACCCTGCAACTCACAACGAGCAATCCACTGCTGCTAAGCAGGTGTGAGCCTAGTCAGTATCTGGATGGGAGACCTCCTGGGGAAAAACTAAGGTTGTTGCTGGAAGAGGTGTTAGTGGGGCCAGCAGGGGGTGCTCATCCTGAGGTCCATGGGGGTCCTAATGCCCCAGTATAGTGACAGGGACACTATACTGTAAACAGGTGCCGTCCTTTGGAGGAGATGCAAAACCAAGGTCCTGACTCTCTGTGGTCATTAAAAATCCCAGGGTGTTTCTCGAAGAGAGTAGGGGTGTAACCCCAGTGTCCTGGCCAAATTTCCCATTGGCCCTTACCAATCATGGCCTCCTAATAATCCCCATCTATGAATTGGCTTCATTACTCTGCTCTTCTCCCCACTGATAGCTGATGTGTGGTGAGTGTTCTGGCGCACTATGGCTGCCGTCGCATCATCCAGGTGGATGCTGCACATTGGTGGTGGTGGGGGGGAGTCCCCATTACCTGTAAAGAGCTTTGAATGGAGTGTCCAGAAAAGCGCTATATAAGTGTAAGCAATTCTTATTAATTATTAAAGAGACAGTGCTACACTGTGGCTGACACTGGAAAGGGCAATAGCCAGCCTGAGGTCACTGCACACTCACCCAGGGACTGCTTGGTTTTTGAGATGGTGACAGTGGTTAGTTCATATTCCTCCACTGGTGCGCTGGCTGGGCTGCCGCTTAAGCCATTCTGCGAGTGTCCATTCACCTGCCCCCTTCCCGCCCTTACTGTAGGGGGTGCTGTTGAGCCCCTGTCAGAACTGAGGTCCCGGAGATTAGCACTGCCGGGAGACCCTTCTCCTCCTGTGCCTCCAAAGATCTCCGACAGCATCGGCCTGGATCTGCGGGGGGCGTTGATCACAGTGTACAGGGAGTCCTTGCTTTTCTCTGCTTTCTCCTTCCTGGCTTTTGCCTGGCCGTTTCGGAAGGGAGATCTCCCCCTTTCTGAAGTGGTATGGCCCCTGTCAGCCGTGGAGTGCAACGACACCTCATCATAGTGGACAGAGCGGACCGTACCAGGATTGTCCCTCCTCAGAGGGGCGTCTGTTTCTGAGCGCTGGGTCTCAGCCAGCAACCAATTGGAGCGCATGGGGCTGGCTGGGAGGGGTTTAAGGGCCTCTGCGGAGTAGCTGTCCACTTGCACGTCCTGGAGAGGGGTCAGAGTCCTGGAGGGGAGCTGTCGGATATCCTGTAGCCCAGAGAGCCGCAGCTTCTCTATCTCCGCCATCAGCTGCCTGTCCTTCTCGAAGTCCTGCACCGGCTTGAGCTGGAACCCTCCCCTGTAATCTAGAAACAAACCACACAGTTATTAACACGATTGACACCGTCGCCGCCCTGCTGGAGGTCATGCACCAGGTGTCCCAGTAACATCTCTGACCAGTGAGAAGGTGCTCACACGCTGAAGCGCCGTGCAGAAGAGAGATTACACTCAAACACAGCAAGGCTCCGTGAGGCTCTAACATTGCATGAGCAATACAAACACTTCTCAGGTTTCACAGCCCACTCCTCCTGACAAGGTTTGAATTACTGCTCTGTGATGAGCACAATGGACAACCGGAAGAGTGATAAAGCCTGCAGGCCGGTGTGTGGAGGTTAAACAATGCAGGCCAGGCGCGTTCCATTTTGCCGATTCCAATTCAAGACTCTCCAACAGAGCGGCGACTCCTTACTCACACAAAAGAACGGACTCACTGGGGTATTTCTCTTTCAGGAGGCCATCCCAAGATTATTTAGCCAGCTCATTGAAAAACAAAGCCACTCCTGTGACCTGGGTCGGGGCAGAAACTGGTGACCTTCAGGGCGGAAGCAGCAAAGTCTCAAATATCTGCCTTTCCTTTCAATTTTCTTCCTTGCAAAGAATCTTTTTTTACATTTGATTTGTACATGTAGTGAGCTTGCTGGCAGCGCCTGAGCTCCAGTGTATCACGTCAACAAGGAAAAGGAAACGAACCAAATCACTGTGTGAGGTGAAACACAATAAAATCAGATTGTGGAG